GCCAGGTTCCAGCCTTGAGTGCCTACCCTGACTTCCCAGGGTGATGGGCTACAAGCTGTAAGACGAAATAAACCCTTTCCTTCCTAAGTTGCTTTTGGTCATGGTGTTTTATCACAGCAATGGAAACCCAATCTAAGGCAGGATTGGGGTAGCAGTATGTCCAGATTTTTTTTTTTTTAATGTGCATGGATGTTTTGTCCGCATGTGTGTTCCTGTGCTGTGTACATGCTGGGTGCCCGCAGAGGCTGGAAGACAGTGTTAGATTCCCTGGAACTGGAGTTAGAGATAATTTTGAGCCACCGAGTGGGTGCTGGGAATCAAACTTGAGTCCTCCGGAGGAGCAGCTGGTGCTCTTAACTCCTGGGTCATCTCTCCAGCCCCTGTGGTGAACTTTTTGAAGAAGCTATTTAGATGGGCACCTTCTTGCCATAAGCTCATAGGGCAAAGAGAAAGCTTCCTTCTCCTATTTCTTTTTATGAAGGCATTCATCCCACTCATGTAGTTTGGGGAAGATGAAACACTTAACGCACAGCTCTTATGTTGTCTTACAAAAGCCTCTAGATTTGTTTCATGATGATGGGACAAACATTGGTAACATATAACTGTCCTTTGTCAAACTCTGCTGGGTTTGCTTTTCTTTTCATTATTCTAAGAGTTTCAATCTCCCGGACCTTTGAAAACAAAGGTTGATATTCTCATCTTAACCACTGAGTCCTTTCCTAAAACTCTTCTAGCACTCAACATGTGTCAGACACTCGGCTAAGTTCAGAAAAATACAATAGGAAGAGGCGGGAAAACAGGTATCTTCACTTTATAAAATAGATTAGCAAACTGTCAAGTTCCATTCTATTATCAGCTCAACTCGGGTTAACTCAGGGTTGTCTTTCTTGTCTCCATACACTATATACCTGATATTAAGTTTAATACTGCAATATGTCTAGTCCTAAATATTAAATTTTCCTCGTCAAACACCGAGCTTTAAAATGCCGTATAAATTTTACTTATATTGTTACATAGTAAGTAAACATAAAATTTCCTGTCTAGTTTTATCTTATATGGGCTCATCCTGAATTTTAGCATCTAAATATTGATTGCAGACTTGCTGCCACAGTTTCAGATCCCTGCTGTTCCCCAGAGGCCTGTGTGTTAAAGCAAAGTTTGGTTGGTTCCCTGCGGCAGCACTGTTACAATACATAACTCTGATTTTCTTTTGTCGTAGTACAGAAAGCTGATTATCAGAATTGCCTGATTGGCTTTCAGAAAATCTCCAAGCTTGTCTTCTGAGTCAGGGCCTAATATTTGGGAATTAAATTCAACCACTGATTTAAAAACTGAAATTTAAAGTTAATTAACTTTTTTTAACATCATTTGTTTGATACGTGGGACTAAAAATATCTTTGACTTCCTTTCAAAACATGTGTTTGAACCTTCCTGCAAAATCCATATCAACCTATGTGTTCTAATTTTTTAAATCAGTATTTTTTTGATCAGACATTTATTACAGTTTCTAAAAGAAACAATTAATTTCCAATTACTTTCAGAAGCCCAAATATCACAAACCCCTTTTTTCAAATATGACAAACAAAAGGACTAACTGTGTGTTCTACTTGTTCTCTGAACCATATCTCACAAAAGCTTTCTAAAGCCACAGGCAGACAGGAAGCCAGGTGACTTACTATAAAAACACTGGGTGTTTGTTTCAGTTGGGTGTTTTGCTCTATATGTCAACCACACACAATATATAGCAATGCTGACAGTAAAACCAAGATAATGTTAGTATCTGAATAGTATAAAAGCAATTGCAGACATTGGTGTCTTTAAATATTTCCCCACTCTTTGTATGAAATCGTAGCTTTCATTTATTTAGTGTTCATCAAATGTCAAATATGATATCATAACTACCTCACTGATGATCACAACAGGCCAATGTGTCACATACTATTAGCGTAACTTAGCAGAGAGAGGCAAAGCTGCTTCCACAGACAGGGTGTGACAGAGTAGGGTCTGCACTGAGGCCTGGCCTCAGACCCTGCATTCTCCACAGGGTGTTGTTTCCATTGATATATTTGGTCTGTTTCCAAAACCATTTATTTATTTACTCTGTATGAGAGAGAATGTGCGTGTGTGTGTGTGTGTGTGTGTGTGTGTGTGTGTGGGTGTGTGTGTGTGTATGTCTGAGAGCGAGAGCTATAGCACACATGTAGCCATCAGAGGAAGATTCAGGCGGTAGTCCACTCCTTCCACTGTGGGTTCTGGGAATCAAACTCGAGCCATCAGGCTTGTTCAGAAAGTGCTTCTGTCCAGTGAGCCATCTTTCTAGCCCAGATCTGGTCTCTTGACCGTGGGGCCTACATATCTAAAGACATTTATTCACACAGACATAGCTATCCAAACATGGAGATACTTATATGGATACATATACAGAGTGGGGTATTGGGGGCTTTCATAAACAATAAGAAATAATTAAATAGTAAAGACAACAACTATCTGTGTGTTTAGTTACTGCATACAGCAGTCATTTGCATGACTAATTGTCCTCATTAAACCAGCAAGTGTTGAACTCACTTTGAAGGCGGGAAAGTGACACTGACAGTAAGTGACCAATGGCTGCCCTGCTACAGCTGCTGAGGAAGGCAGAGCTATTCTTCAGCGGGATGGTGAAGCTGTTCACACCACAGCAACTTTGTTCCACCAGATCCTCCTCTCAAGCTAGTGCAGGGTCCTTAAGGCTTCCACCCTTCGATTTCTGTTGCTTGTTTTTCTGACACAGGGTTTCTCTGTGTAGCCCTGGCTGTCCTAGAACTCACAGGCTGGCCTGGAACTTGGAGATTCTCTGTGTCTGCCTCCTGAGTGCTGGGATGAAGGGTGTGAGCCACCACCACAGGGCTCCCCCCCCCCGCCCCCCCCCTTGGTTTTCCTAGACAGGATTTCTCTGTGGCTTTGGAGGCTGTCCTGGAACTCGCTCTGTACACCAGGCTGGTCTTGAACTCAACAGATCCGCCTGCCTCTGCCTCTGCCTCCTGAGTTCTGGGACTAAAGGTGTGAGCCACCAACTCCCAGAGATAGATGATAGATAGATAGATAGATAGATAGATAGATAGATAGATTTTTAAACTGCAGCTGCAGTTTTGTTTGTTCTGCTGACCATAAGTTCAAAGTGGTGTTAGGACTGGTGAAATGGTTCAGCAGGTACGGGTGTTTGCTGCCAAAGGCTCAGCCTGGTGCCATCAGTTCAATTCCACAAACGTGTGCACACACAAATAAATGAGTAACTACAAAAACAGATGAGCAAGCAAAAAACCCAGGACTGGTCTTATTTCGTCATAGCCAACTAAGAATCTATTCAAAAATTTAAAATGTGGGTGGGCCGGCTGCAGGGATAGATAGCTCATTGGCTAAGATCATTTGCTGCTGTTACAAAGGACTCTGGTTCGGATCTCAGCACTCACATGAGAGTTCACACCCACTGTGATCCAAAATCTCTGCTGCTCTCTGGTGTGCACACATACATGCAGGCAGACACGCATATGCATAGACTAAAAAACAATAAATCTTAAGAAGTGGGAAATGGTCTACAATGTATTAGATGTAAAGGCAGAAGAATCTTGACTATGGACTTAACAGACCTTGTCTCAGAAACAAAAGCAAAAATCTGGCCAAACAAGACACCACTTCCTCGGACCAAAAAAACGGATTTACAGACACTAAAATGATTCCCTTCAGCTTCAGTTAAATAATCCTATTTATTATCAGTGAGAACTAATAATCTGTACTGAATCTGAGCCATCTCTTAGTTAACGTTTCTTATGAGTAAGAATATTTCAATATTCTGTAAGGCAGGAAGCGACCCCCACAGGCCATGGGAGCTGTGCTGGAGACATACCTCCTCTGCTGTCCAGAAAGATGCCTGCGCTTGTTTGTACATTTTCCAGATGTCAGGGTACTGGATCGGAAAGATGACAAACCGGCGGGAACTCTTTCTTAGGAGGGGCTCTTCACTTGACTTCACCACACTTTCCTTTGTATCTGAAGACAACTGCTTTAAAAAACAAAAACAAAGTATACTTTTTTTTAATGTGGAAAGTTCTCTCAGACTCAAGCCTAAATGTAGTTCTGGGGGGGGGGGGGGATTTGGGAGGGAGAGCAGGTTGAGGAAGCAGTGGGTGCACAGAACACTCTCAGTTATCCGACCACTGGGTAACTTCATCCAAAAAGATTGTTCTAATTGCTGGGGGGTGATGATGGCGCACGCCTTTAATCCCAGTACTTGGCAGAGGCAGGCGGATCTCTGTGAGTTCCAAGGCCAGCCTGGTCTACAGATTGAGTTCCAGAACAGACAGATCTACAGAGAAGCCCTGTCTCAAAAAAAAGAAAAAAGAAAAGAGTGTTCTGATTATCAAAAATCTTTTAAGCTGCACCAAGTGCTGAGTCGCCACTCGAATTATTGTAGTTATTGCTACTCTAAGCGTAGTCGTAGTACAATGCTAAACCAACAAACTGTAACAGTGGGAAAATTACTGCTTTTGAACGAAATCTCCCTTCCGCACCACTCCACAATGATGACTAAGGTGAATGATACACTGTTACAAGGCTATATTTCTAATGTTTTTTTTCTGTTCTTAGCTGAAAACTCCGACAATGTTATCTCCTTTACCCATGTTTCTTACCATTCCCATATACCACTGTTATTCGATTACTCTTTGTAGTACAGAGTTGTTTTCACTGGTGTGGACATGTTAACATCCTTGCTCTCAGCCAGGTTAGCAGTTGTCACACTCCTATCAAAGGACTGTTACAAAGAGCTAACAATGTTCTTAATGATCTCAAATGCTGTATTCTTTCCAAATTATTTTGTTATTACTGATTATTGAGATGCTTCTGATTAGCTTTTTAAAGGTTTTAAAGAGTGAGTTTCACCTAGGCATGCTGGCACATACCTGAAATCCCAACACTCAGGACTTGGCAGAGACAGGAGGATTGCTAATTCAAGGCCAGCCTGGCTACAGTGAGACTCTGAGGAGGGAGAGACAGAGATACATACTCAAATATATTAGTTAGAACTGAGGCCAAGCTAAAAAGGCAGAGGTCTAGAGTAAACAGGTGTGTGTGTGTGTGTGTATGTTTGTGTATGAGTGTATGTATATGTTTGAGTGTGTGTGTGTGAGTGTATGTGTGCGAGTGTGTATGTGTGTGAGTGTATGTGTGTGTGTGTGAGTGTGTGCAAGTGTGTGTATGTGTGTGTTTGAGAGTGTTTGTGTATGTGTATGTGTGTGCAAGTGTGTGTGTGTGTGTGTGTGTGTGTGTGTGTGTGTGAGGAGACCAGAAGTCACTGCCAGGTGTCTTCCTCTATTGCTCTCCACTGAACCCCAACTCACTGATTGGCTGGACTGGCTGGTCTAGTGACGAAGCTGTCTCTGTATGTCTACCTCCAATGCTAGGGTATCAACGCCAGGATTTTAGATGGCTGTTGGGAATCTGAACTTACTCAGCAGGCACTTTACCAAATGAACTATCTTCCTAACTCAATCAACGAGGACTTTGAATCCATGTGGCCCATATTGCTCGTTTAATTCTTCTAGAAAGAAACTGATTGCACTTTGATACAATTCGGCATTTTTCCCTATGCTCTGTATTATATGACTGAGGTATCTGTTTAGGACTAGAAATCTCTACCATCACTGCATCTGCTAGATGGGGCACTCTGAAACTTGGGGAGGAAAACAAAGCAGTAACTTTGGGCACCAAGCACTGTGATCTTGGAGTTTTTACATGCTAGTAAATAACTGGTCAGTCTCAGGATTCGTGGCCTTTTTGAAGACCATTGCCTCTAAACTGGAATGTAAGTGGCAACTGTATATACTTTCTTCCTGTTCCACCCTGATAAAAAGTGTAACTTAACACGGGCATAGCGGGATGCGTGGATGTCAATAGCATTAGTTCATGAAGGATTTAAAAAAGCTACATCAGGAAGAGATTACTAAAAATTTTGTCATGTGAAGAGAAGAGGGTTAACTAACATAAACCTCTGAACTGGATCAGAGTTGAAAAATTTCATAATGCATATTTTAATACAATTTTAAGAGGTTTGTGCAAGACTCTCCATGGTGCCTGTGGTAAGAAACCATAGTTTAGAATATTCTTATTGCTGTTTGCTATCTTTTTTTTTTTTAAGGTGTGTCTCTCTGTGTAATCCAGGCTAGCCTCAAAGTTTTGATTCTCCATCTCGGCCTCCTGTGTGCTGGGAGTATAGCTGTGTGGTCATCTGTAACAACCCACTTTGATTGAGCTTCCCAAAGCTTTCCATGTGAGTTTTCATTACAGTGTTTCTCTTCACACTCATAGCTTAGGATGATAGATTTGGAACTGAAGAATCTGGAGGGCTGAGGTACTGTGCCTGTACTACTACTTTGGAACAGTTTTTCCAAACTAATAAACACATGAAGCAAATTGCTTGCTCCTAATGTTGAACAGGGGACCCTTATCTTTTGTAGGCACAGGACTGAGACTGCAGAAAATGCAATCAAAATTTTCCTCCTGGGTCTGGCCAAATCACGTTGCATGCTGAATGCTCAGACCCACAAAGTGTTAAAATAATAGTACAAGTGTTACTCTTAAAATAAGGAGCAAGGCCGGTGGTGGCACACATCTTTAATCCCAGTGTTAGGGAGGCAGAGGCAGAGGCAGAGGCAGATGCAGAGGCAGGTGGATCTCTGTTGAGTTCGAGGCCAGCATGGTCTACAGAGTGAGCTCCAGGACAGCCAGAGCTACATAAAGAAACCCAGTCTTGAACAACAAACAAACAAACAAACAAACAAACAACAAAAGGAAGGAATGAAGGAAGGAAGGAAGGAAGGAAGGAAGGAAGGAAGGAAGGAAGGAAGGAAGAAGAAAAGCAACCAGATTTTGGTAACAATAAACACGAAATTTCATAAGTGAACATGAGAACATGAGGTCATAAACTAAGATGTGAAAACTGGAATTTAAAAAGCGTGGCTTTGCTAGCACCTTGCTGGTAGGTCTTGCTTTTTTGTGGGAATTGAGAGCCTGAGGCACCTTATGTAGAATTAGCTCAGGGAAGTCACAACCCATCATTAACTTAATGAAAGACAGATTTGGCAGGGGCACACAGGACTGGACGGCAG